AGAAGCAAACAACTCCACGGTGAGAGAGTCAGAAACAGCGTGAGTAGCAGAATAACACATTAATGTCCCAGATGGTAAGGAGTGCGCCATCATTTTGGAAGACCGGCAAGAACCAGGAAGATCGAGGGTGTGGGGGGCGGGCGTGCCTTGACGTCGCGCGAAGTGCCAAACTTGTCGGAGCCGTCCGGCTTCTCCGCCTTGAGCGACTGGACCTCGTCCTCGAGCGCCTGGCCCGTGGTGGCGGTGGGTCCGGGAGGGGGGGGGGGCGGGACATGTGTTGGCGGAGAAGAGGGATGCGGGCGCGGCGGCGGAGGGGAGGAAAGTGGCGGGGAGATGGAGGACGGATGGAAGGGAGACGGGGAGGCGGCGGTGGCGGGGAGGTGTGAGGAGGCGGCGAGGGCGGCGAGGACGAGGGCGCGGCGGTGGCGGTGGTGGGGCGGGGGCGGCTGGGTCGGCCTTCACGTCACGCGAAGTGCCAAGCTTGTCGGAGCCGTCCGGCGTCGACCCCGCCTTGAGCGATTGGACCTCAATCTTGAGCTCCTGCACCTTGTTCACGAGCGCCTGACCCGTGGTGGCGAGGGTGGGCTGGCGGCGGGGAGGGGGGAAGGGGAGGGAGGGGGGACGTCGGCCTTGATGTAGCGCGAAGTGCCACACTTGTCGGAGTCGTCCGGCGTCCCCGCCTTGAGCGCCTGGTTCTCGTCCTTGAGCGCCTGGTTCTCGTCCTTGAGCGCCTGGATCTCGTCCTTGAGCGACTGGATCTCCGCGCGTGCCTCCTCGATGTCGGCCCTGCCGTTGATGTCATCCGTCACTGCGTGCTCCATCTTCGAGGCGGTGCAACCCATTTTGAGCGGTGTTCTGCACACGAGGGGAGCGCACACCGTGAGTCGGGGGATGCGAACGCGTAACGCATGTTGTGGGTTTGATTGTGCGCTCTGGGATGGGGAGGCGGCAGAGGCGGGGCCGGAGGCGGCAGCGGCGGTGGCGGAGCAGTGGCAGCGGAGGCCGGCGGCACACAAGAGCTGCGCGGGCGTGATGGAGGGCGGCGGCGGCCTTGAAAGTCGATCGTCGTCTGTGATTCGGTTCCTCGGACACGCCGTTGGCGCTGCTTTTTTCTGAGGTGTGAACCGCGCCGTCCCGGGAAGCCCCGCGCATAGGACAACAACGTCTGTCCCACACACGCACAGACAGAGCGCACATACATCATGCTCGGGCACCCCACAGTGTACTCGCTTAGTGTGGGTAAACGAAAGTAGCGCTACTACCTGAAAGAAGAAAATGAAAGGACTGCCTCGATCCTGTACCGTGTTTGTTATGACCCCCCCCCCCCCCCCGAAGAGAGAAGAAAAGCAAGGGGCGACCGCCCGAGCGACGCCGCAGGCACAAGGGACTTCCTCCACTGATGAGCGCCTCGATCATCCTCCCGCTGAAGGGCACAAAGCCGGCGGAGCTCTCAAATGCGCTCCTCTCCTACTACGCGGATGTCACGAAATCGCGGCCGCCTGAAGCTGCGGCCGCAGCGGCCCGCACGCTCGACCAGGTGCGGGAGCGGCTGTCCTCCATCAAGGCGTTGAGCGACACGACGGCGGACGCGGCGGCGACAGAGCTGCTTGCGTACGAGCGGCAGCTCGCCGCGCTCGCCCGGCGGCTCGACAACGCCGGCGCGGCGCTCAACGTCCGCTTCATCTGGCGCGACGCGTTTCGGCCAAAGCAAAAGGTCGAGAAGGGCGACCTCGACTGGGAGCGGGTGTGTACGCTCTTCAACGCGGCGGCCGCGCTCGGCTACGCGGCCAGCCGCGCCTTCCGCCGCGGCGCTCAGGCCGATGCCTTCAAGCAGCTGCAGCGCGCCGCCGGCTGCTTTGCTGCGGCGCACGACATGGTGCGTCCGGCGATCTGGGGTCTGGACCCGCGGTGGGAGCCGGCGAGCCTGTCACCCGACCTGGGCCTCGAGATGCTCTCCGCCCTCCGCGACCTCATGCTCGCGCAGGCGCAGCACGCCTTCCACCAGAAGGCGCTCGACGAGGGCATCCGCGCGCCGTGGCGGTGCTCGGAACAGCGCCTCTTCACGGGTGCAGCTGTGAGCAGGTCGGCGCGCCTCCTCAACCGCCACCACCTGTGAACAGCGCCTCTTCACGGGTGCAGCTGTGAACAGGCGGTTGACGAGGGGACCTCGCCCTCGGTGCGCGCAAAGCTGGCCGAGCAGGCGGCGCTCCTGTTCGGCGCCGCCCTGCGCACCCTCGACTCGCAGGAGCTGCGCGACTACGTCACCGAGGAGGGCTCCCTCTTCAAGCTAGCCCTAACCCTCACCCTCACCCTCACCCTCACCCTCACCCTCACCCTAACCCTAACCCTAACCCTAACCCTAACCCTCACCCTCACCCTAACCCTGACCCTGACCCTAACCCTAACCCTAACCCTAACCCTGACCCTGACCCTAACCCTAACCCTGACCCTGACCCTGACCCTAACCCTAACCCTAACCCTAACCCTAACCCTAGGAGGGCTCCCTCTTCAAGCTCCCTGTCTCGGAACCTTCTCGGAACCTGCCCGGAACCTTCCCCCATAGGAGGGCTCCCTCTTCAAGCCCGCAGACGACAGCTGGCTCCGCAGGCGGCGGGGTCTCGTCTAGTAGGAGTAGTCCAGCCTAGTGACGGCGCAGACGACAGCTGGCTCCGCAGGCTGCGGGCGGCGGAGGCGAGGGCGCGCGCCATCGCGCAGGAGGAGGCCGCCGCCGCCGCCGCCGCTGACTCGAGCTACGGCGCACAGGTGGAGCAGCATCGCTCGATCTGCACCCACACACCGCTCTCCCACACTCACCCACACACCGCTATCCCACACTCACCCACACACCGCTCTCCCACACTCTCACCCACACACCGCTCTCCCACACTCTCACCCACACACCGCTCTCCCACACTCCCACGCCCACAGTGACGCCACCTCGCGGCTCGCTCTCCCTCCCTTCTCCTCTCGGCGCCGCACCCCCTTCCCCTGAGTCTGGCCCTCGCCACACCTGCCGCACCGCTTGTGAGGGCGCGAGGTGGGGAGTGTGAGTCTGCAGCAGTCTGCCGCGTGCCTGGTCCCCGCCTCCAGCTGCCTCTCTGCCTGATGCCGCGCCCATCGATCAAGGCAGCCACTGCTCGCACTTGCCAATGGACCACTCCCAGAGGCGCTGCTGCGGTCGTATGCCTTCTCGTCGGCCCGCCGCATGCGCCGTGCCCCATGTTCCGTCCATTCTTGGCGTGGCAGCCCACCCAGCACTCTGCCCCTGCTGCCCATGCCTGCAGTGTGTGTCCTGGGGGCGCGCGCGGCAGCCGCCGGGCCAGACTCTCCTCCTGACCCTCGCGCAGGTGGCGCGGCTGCGGCTCGCGTCCGAGCTGATGCGGCGCGCGGCGGCGGCGGCGCCCGACCCTAGAAGCGGACTACAGAGTCGTGTCTTCCAACCGGCACTCGAGAGGCACTCGAGAGGGCCGCGTACTCCACTGCATTCGACACTGTACTCGACCGTCTTCCGCCGCACTCCGCTGTCTTCGCACCCCTCGTGTTCACGACATCGCACAGAGACAGTCACGACATCGCACAGAGACAGTCACGACATCGCACAGAGACAGTCACGACATCGCACAGAGACAGTCACGACATCGCACAGAGACAGTCACGACATCGCACAGAGACAGTCACGACATCGCACAGAGACAGTCACGACATCGCACAGAGACAGTCACGACATCGCACAGAGACAGTCACGACATCGCACAGAGACAGTCACGACATCGCACAGAGACAGTCACGACATCGCACAGAGACAGTCACGACATCGCACAGAGACAGTCACGACATCGCACAGAGACAGTCACGACATCGCACAGAGACAGTCACGACATCGCACAGAGACAGTCACGACATCGCACAGAGACAGTTAGAGAGAGAGAGACACACAGTCACGACATCGCACAGAGACAGTCACGACATCGCACAGAGACAGTTAGAGAGAGAGAGAGAGACAGTCACGCAACACCAGCGGGGCCCCATATCTCCCCATATCTCCCCATATCTCCCCATATCTCCCCAGTCACGC